AAAAAAAACCAAAACAATAGCAACAACAATGTTAGCTCTCCCAGGACTTGATCATTACACCAATTTTCAGAGGGTTCCCTAAAGATGCTACACCCAAAGACAACAGGAAGTAATTTTAAGAACATGATGCCCACATTCCTGAAAGGTGGGGTGGGTGGTTTTTGATCATTTGGTTGATTATTGATGTTTGCCATTTTTTGGGGGCGAGGGTTGGTTGCAAGTTGCTATTGGTCAGGGTCAGGGAAGAAATTAAGCAAAGGAGGTTAGATTTAGGAAACTCCTTCTGAAAATAAAAAAGGCAGACATAGGAATGATAGGATACAAGGGAAGATTATTGAATCTACTTTTAAACAAAAAAACAACTACTCTTCTCAAATATTTTATGTTGGTATGGATTTTTGTATATTGATACAAATTTGAGGTTATTTTTGTTACAATGCACTGTAATGTATAGTACCTACATTTAAAATTGTAAGGTAAAGTTCTAGTCCTTGAAGGCTACTATTATAAACTGTTTAGGATAATTAAGATACAAATCAAACTTGTAGCCATGTTAGGTATGTTTTCAAGGTCAAATAGAGATACATATTTTAGATAGATAGGTGGCCTTTAAACACTTCAGAGATCTACAGAATAAGGCATTTAAGATGTTTTAATAACACAAGGCTTTTCATGACAATGAGATACATCTGCTCCTGGCAGCACAAATCTATTCCAGGGAAGATGATGGGCTTTGAAGAACCTCCATATTGAATTTGCTTTCATTGTGGCAAAGTTAGTCACTGGACAAAAAATTGCCCTTGCCTCGACTGCTGATAATATGCTGTTCAAGTTGGACATGCAGGACACAAAAGAAAGTGACTGCCATGCTTTTCCAAGACAAGCTGGGTCAGTCCTTCAAAACTCCTGCTTCATAAGAAAGTTTGTCAGATATTCTAGGCCTGTAGGCTGAAAATGGGTGCCCTGATGCTGAAGAGGAACCTTGGGTGGCTGTCCAAGCATCCAGCTGTCTATAATTTCTATAGTTTTGGAAATGGTTTACTTTGTACCTCCTGCTTACTTAGGTAATATTTTATCCTTCTTAGGTCTCTGATGGTGGTTGAAGACAGAGAGAAGATAGTTAAAGTTTTACCATTTTCTTTGTTATAATATTTTTAAAAACATCACAAAAGAGAAGTAAAGTTTATAAGGGTTGAGAGACATAAAAGCTTAAGTTGTTTATTTAAAAAAATTTTAAAAATGTGTAGCCCAGCTGGCCTCAAAGTTATGACCCTCCTGCCTCTGCTTCCTTCAACAAATCCTATCCACGTGCACCACCACAACTGGCCTAAAAAATGTTTTAAGGTCTAAAAAGTTATTTTTAGTTTGATAGTACAAGTTATGATAGAAGGTGGTTTAGGTAAAAATCTTTGGACTCAACAAGATAGGATAGATAATAGAATACTTTCTCCAAATTTGCTAAATATAAATGGACTGGATATTGTAAATATAATCCTTACTTGGTAATTGTTCTTACTGCATATAGTTTTACTGTGTTAGAGTTAAAACTTTCCTTTTTATTTAGACAAAAAGGGGAAAATGTTGTAGGAAAATCTTTTGTACACTGTGACGATATGTCTCTGCCAAGGTATTTTCTGAGTGATGAAAGAGCTGAATGGCCAATAGCTAGGCAGGAGTGCATAGGCAGGACTTCTAGGCAGAGATAGGAACTCTGGGAAGAAGAGAGGCAAAATTCACCAGAAAGACATGGAGTAAGTTGAACATACAGTATGCAGGAGAGGTAATGAGCCACACAGCAGAGCATAATTTACTATAAATGAGTTAATTTAAGCTCTAAGAGCTAGTTGAGAATAAGCCTAAGCTAAGGCCAAGATCTCATAATTAATAAGAAGTCTCTGTGTTATTATTTGGGAACTGGCAGTCCAAAGTCCAACAACAGACCTTCTGAGGGGTCCCATGGATAGCCCCTCCTTTGTATCTAGCCTAGTGTGTAACTTGACCAAGTAGCACTTCTGTGGATGGTTGATATCATCTGTACCCTCTGGCTTCCGTGTGGCCCCGTGGAGTGGCAGTAAGTGGAAAAATGTTCATGTAAAAAGGGTACAAAGCTTGTGGCAGTGTGGAGTCAGCTCTAGCTCAGAGATTTGCAAAGCCTGGGCAGTAAGCAGAAGCCTGGAGGATTCCAGGGTTGTCACGAGGCTCTCTACCCCACACCTACCCGTAAAGCTGGCTTCTCAGCTGGGTTTGACAGCAAGAGGCAGCCTTCAGGACTGCTGCTGGGCAGAGATTATGGGTCAGCATTCTATTTTTGTATCTTGTCTGGCCATTGTCCATTTCTATATTTACTCTCTTAAAGGATATTCCCAACTGCTTTCTTAAAGGGTCACTGCCAACTGTGGCCTCAATGGAGGCACAGAAGTCACCCTTCTTACTGGTCACTCTTGTCTCATGCTGCTGATAGCCCTTGCCTGCCTTCAGGCTTAGAGGTGTGTGCTGTGCCAGCCCAGACTATGCCAGGAAGTATTTCCTGAGATTCAGGCCCGAGGCCTCAACACTGAAGGACTCCAGTATGTAGTGCTCTGATATAGTGGGTGGAAATACAAGTGTCTGGTGTTCTCTGAGGTTAGGTAATCTGGCAGACACTGGCAGGTCATTGAGGTTGGGCCTCCTCCTGCCATAGTTAGCATTGGCGCTCCTTCCCTGGTCATACAGTGATTTTTTTTCTTGAGGAAAAGAACATTTTATAGTTGTCCCTCCATAAGACTTAAATACCACTCACCCAAA